AAAAGAAATCCCACATTCCTGAAGGTAATGCAGGGATTAGTGCAGCCATCAAGGACTTGAAAGATGAGGGGTAGTGATTCCCACATCCCCAAGAAAGACGGATCCTGAAGAATGACAGTGGATTCTCTTAAGCGTGACCAGGTGGTGACTCTAATTGTAGCTGCCGTAGCAGACTTGGTTTCGTTGCTAGGGTAAATGAACACATCTCCTGGTACCTGGTATGCGGCTACTGATGTGACAAACGCTTTTTTTTCTCCATCCCTGTCCATAAGGCCCACCAGAAGCATTTTGCTTCCAGCTGGCAAGGCAAGCAATACACCTTCACTGTCCTAACTCAGGGATATACCACCCCTCTGGACCTATGTCACAATTTAGTTTGCAGGGATCTTGATCACCATTCCCTTCCAGAAGATTGCACGTCGCTCCACTACACTGATGACAGTATGCTAATGAGACCAAGTGAGTGAGAAGTAGCCACCACTCTAATTGGTAAGACATTTTCATATCAGAGGGTGGGAAATAAATCTAACAAAAATTCAGGAGCCTTCTATTTCAGTGAATTTTCTAGGGGTCCAGTGGTGTGGGCCATGTCAAGATATTCCTTCTAAGGACTGCTGCATCTGGCCTCTCCTACAACCAAAACAGAGGCACAATGCTCAGTGGGCTTCTTTGAATTTGGGAGGCAACATATTCCTCACTTGGTTGTGTTATTCTAGCCCATTTACTGAGTGACCCAAAAAGCTGCTGGTTTTGAGTGGGGCCCAGAACAAGAGAAGGCTTTGCAGCTCTGCAGCTCCAGGCAGCTCTGCAAGCTGCTCCGCCCTTGGCCTTATGATCCAGCAGATCCAATGGTGCGGAAGCATCGGCAGCAGAGAGTGTGCAGTTTGGAGCCTTCGGCAGCCCCTAGAGGTGAATCACAGCAAAGCCTCTTAGGATTTCGGAGCAAAGCCCTGCCATCCCCTGCAGATAACTACCTTCCTTCTGAGAAACAGCTATTGGTTTGCTGTTGGGCCTTAGCAGAGGCTTGACCATGGTCCACCAAGCTACCATGCGACCTGAGCTGCCCATCATGAGATGGTGTTATCTTTATCTGGCCCACCAAGCCATAATGTGGGCGTGCACAGCAACATCCCAAAGTCAGATGGAGGTGGTGTATACATGATCACACCCAAGCGGGCCCGCAGGCACAAGTAAGTCACATGAAGAAGTGCCCCAGATGCCCACGGTCCCCATTCCTGCTGCTCTGCTTTATCTCCCCTGGCCTCGTGGGGATTCCTCCGGATCAGCTGGCAGAGGAAGAGAAGTCTGGGCCTGACTCACAGACGGTTCTGCACAATATGCAGACACCGCCCCCAAGTGGACAGCTGCAGCACTACAGCCCTCCTTGGGACATCTCCAAAGGACAGTGGTGAACGGGAATCCTCCCGGTGGACAGGACTTTGGGTAGTGTACCTGACTGTTCACTCTGCTTGGAAAAATGGCCAGACATGCAATTATATATTCATATTTGCCAATGGCTTGGCTGGATGGCTGGGGACTTGGAAGGAACATGATTGGAAAATTGGTAACAAGGAAATTTGGAGAAGAGGTATGCAGATAGACCACTCAAAATGGGAAAAAAGAAAAAGGTGAAGATATTTGTATCCCATGTGACTGCTCATTAAAGGGGGACCTCAGCAGAGGATTTTAATATTAAAGTGGATAGAGTTAGCTTATCCTAGTTCTACAGATACCAGTCAACCTCTTTCCCAAGCCACCCCTGTAATCACCCAATGAGCTCATGAAAAAAGTGGCCATGGTGGCAGGGATGGAGGTTATGCATAGGCTCAGCGACACAGACTTACACTCTCCAAAGCTGACCTGGCTACTGTCACCACTGAGGCCTTCAAACTCATACTAGAACTATATTCCATGGGCTCTCCTGGGTCTCCATTATGACAGTTTGGCCCCATTAATTGTTATAATTTTTTAAAAGCAAAGAAGCAAGCATATCTGAGGCTGACAAATCTTCAACCCCAAGACAATCTAAGGAAATAAACACTCCCTTGGATGTCATCCACAAGGTTAAAAAAAAAAACTATGAATTCAGAAGAGAAAGATAAATAGGAAGCTTTATGAAATTCACTACATGCAGTAAAGGATACAGATCTACCAAAAAATTAGAAGCAGAAACAAAGTCAGGGGTCATAAAACCCTCCAGAACAATGTCCAGAGCTGACGGCTTAGGCTTCCCAAGACCGATTTCTGAGAATACATCTAGCAGCAATGATATAACTTAGAGGGCTCTTCCTCTAGCTCCCCAACTTTCAGCTGATGTGGTTCCCTGGAGGTTAAAGTTATTGTTTATAGTTTATCTACTCACTCAACAGATGTTTACTGGGCTACCACTATGTGGGAAGCACTGTTCCAAGCCCTGATTTATAAACAAGGGACAATGCGTGAGCTTACACCCCTTAACATTATAGCGAGAAAAACAACCAACACAAACAAATACATTTACTTCCAAGGTTAATGCCTCCAGCATTAAATAGACAGCATGTCATATACTGGTAGCTCTCACTTCCAGTCCATAAACAGAATAAAAGAAATGGCTCTGATTTAGAGTATCTGAAGGTCATTAAGTATATCATACAATTTCTATTTAGTAAAACTGGAAACAAAGGCCAGGTCACTCATAATACTAGTTAGCCTGGCCTGAGACCGCCTGCACTGCTAGTGAAAACACCTGGAGCTCAACCCTCAAAAGCGTATGCCCACAGAACCCAGGGTCTTACAGAAAGCTAGGGCCAGAGGGAATAGTCTTGGACAAACACATGCAAACATATGCAAACAAACATATGTTGTTTCAGACAACATATGCAAAAACATTTGTAAATCATATATTATCTATGTATCGGTTAATAACACACAGCACTGTCACCCAAAAATAATTCACCAGAAAAATCCTGATAAATATATTTTCAACTCACCATTACTTTCCAGGTTGTTTCCTGCCTTTCATAGCGACTTTTCAGCAGATGGCTTACTTTCTGCGTCAATTTCAGTAAAAACCTTAATTTGCTTGAGTTTTTCAATTGCTAAGCAACAAAAATGCAGTAATTTCTCTTTATTCACTTAATAATTAGTCCTAAGTTTTACTGAATTCATTGGGTCTTCAGAGCATCAATGACTCTGAAGCCTGAAAGAAACCACAAGCCCAGTGTAAAGTATGTGATAGACTAATATGTTAAAATTCTTCTTGTCAAGAAACAGGATAAGCAGTATTAAAGGACAATTGGGAAGGAAATGTTTGCAATTAACCTGATAGATAGCTAATACTTAAAAACACCGCAAAAATGGGCAAAGAAATACAGGGAGGCAATCTACTAAAAAATAAATACAAATGACCTATAAATGTGCTTTGTAAATGTCCACCCTCACTAGTAATTAAAGAAATGTAAATTTAAAAACGGAAATTTCTCATCTATTGAATTGGTAGGTTTTTTTTAACTAACACCCAAAATTGGTGAAGATACATTTTGGGAATAGAGACGCTCACAAACTACGTGAAAGTGGAACTGCTAGCAAAAAATCAGACAGTTTTTCTGAGGAATAATTGGGAAATATCTTTTCAAAAACCTTTAAAGTATGCTTACTGGGAAAGTAAACTGCAGAAATTTGTCCTAAAGACAAACCTTTATTTGTAAAGATGTACAATGTAGCTTTTTAAACTAAAAGACTGGGAACAATTCATGATTATAATGGCTCTAGGCAATATTGTAAATAGCACAGAAAAGTACTTCAGGCATGGAAACCTCCCCACTGTATGATGATGGGTGCAGAGACAATCAACAGTGAGTACAGCAGGGTTCCATTTCATTATTTATTTGGTTATGTGTTCACATGTGCACTCACACAACACTGAAGGGTTTAGGTCACAGTATCCACAGTAGTTCTCTGGGTTGTAGGACTGTGAGTAATAGTAATTTTCTTCACTATAAATTTTGTTTTCCAAATTTTCTACAGCAAACATGTATTTCTTTAAACACACACAAATGGGTAAGAAAAAAGGTAGTTATCTGTATAAACTCCAGATGGATTAAACAGTTAAGTGTAAACAAAACCATTTTTAAAAGAACAAGAAAAAAAAGGAGTATTTGTCACATCTCAGGAAGGGAAAGGATCTCCTAAACACAAAAAGAGAGAAATCAAAGGAAGAAAAAGACTGGACAACATAAAAATGCAAAAATTCTGTAACCAAAAAAAACAAAATTAAAAAGTCAACTAACAACTAGAAAAACATATTTACAAAAATCTGATAAACAGCTGATGTATTTCACATATAAAGAGATAACATAATTCAATATGAAAAAAAGTGGGCAAAAGACAATGAAACATATAAAAAAGATATGTGTACTCGATTTTTAAATTTATTTTATAAATTAAAATTAAAATGTCCTACCTCACTAAAAATGTCCAGAAAATGACAGAGCCAAGATTGGAATTCAGGTCTATTTTGCTTCAAGGCAATATACCATGTTGCCAAAATAAGTCATTACTTTTTTAAACCACATTAATTTTAAAGTTTGTCCATGACAAAAGAGTTTTCCCCCTTCTATCATGCATTTTGAAATGACTAAAGAAATAAATAAATGAAATGACTAATAGCAAATAAATCAAATAGAAACTATGGTGGTTTTTTTTTTTGATCCTAAATGGAGGTTGAGTTCTTCTGACATATCCAGATAAACCAAAATTCTCTTGCTAAATATTTAAATGAAACCGTATTTATCAAAATCACAGTCAGTATAAAAACTGCTTCTTATAGAAAAGCGTTTCACAACTAACTACGAATAGGAATAGTAAGTAAAATCTGGATTTCTGATTTTATTAAAGACTCAAATGGTTTACTGAAGGAAGATGCCAATTATTAAAAAAACTAAGAAAAGGAAAAAATTTAAATATAGTACAGTAGAAAATTAAAACATTAATTGTGATTATATTAAGCAATATATACTAACCATGAATCAGGGAGCCATTTAGCCACTGAATATAGTAGTTTTGAGGAAAAGAAAGCAGGATTTCATTGCTGATTATTGAGAAGGGTAAAAGCAAAACTGCCCCAGCTGAAACTGCTAGAGTGAACGTGCTCAGAAACAACCTGGAAGAGAAGAGCATCATTGTCACCAGTGGTTGGAAAACACAAAGAATATGGGAGTAATTCAAAAAGAACAGAATCAAAACTCTTAAATTTTTTAAATCCAAAAAGAATTACATATGCATTTCATTGAGTATATGTAGTTGGAAGACAAGTGATATACGTATGGTCCTGGAAGTTAAACTAGACCAACTCTAAAACTTACTCTGTGAAAAAACCATTAAGTCTAAAGAGTCGGCCTAAAGCAGACATAAACTAGAGACAGAAGACTTTGCACATTTTACGAAGAATAGATTGTAGTCTCATTCCTCTTTTAAATTTAAGTATTTATTTCACAATTGCATTTAATTAACAACTATGGCAATATATGCTAACAGTAACGCAAAAACCGGCTCAGTTGAAAAAATGCTTGTGAACACAGTATGAAAAAAGACTTACGTGAAAATGGTTATTTCAGGAAGAAGAAACTTACAAACCTATTGGTCTACCATCTCTTAAAATGGGTAAAGGTTAAATAAACTATATAGTAGACTGTAGGCAACTATTAGAATTATACATTAAACAATATTTAAAACACAATTTTGTCATTTTTTGAAATGAGATATCTCTAATATGTACTAATATGGAAAGATGTCTAAAATAAATTAAAAATAAAAACACAAAGAAAAGCATGGACAATAAATATAAAACATGCTCTCCCCCCGCCCCCCCCACAAAGTGCATATTTACACACAGGAAAATAGAGGTACATTTAAAAATCTAGCATAGGGCTTCCCTGGTGGTGCAGTCGTTGAGAGTCCACCTGCCGATGCAGGGGACACGGGTTCGTGCGCCGGTCTGGGAAGATCCCACATGCCGTGGAGCGGCTGGGCCCGTGAGCCATGGCCGCTGGGCCTGCGCGTCCGGAGCCTGTGCTCCGCAACGGGAGAGGCCACAACAGTGAGAGGCCCGCATACCGCAAAAAAAAAAAAAAAATCTAGCATAATATATAACAATTCCTAGGAGAGTGGGACTACAGGGTGCTTTCTCTTTCTCAGTTACATGTCTGAAATGTCTAAAATTTTATACCTAATTTTTTAAAGATTATTTTAAAAGGCTAAAATGGCAAAGGAAAAGGAAACCTCACTGACATTAGAGATGAAACCTTAATTTAATATTCATTCCATTAAATTTAATATAGAAAGAACGTGAAAATACATGTAAGAAGATATAAGAAAAAATGATACTAAACGCTCAAAATACACATCTAATAGAGTAACTTTGAGGCCAATGCCATCTTGTGGCAACCAACAGAAGCGTTTTCCTACTTAAAAGCTGAAAATAACCATGAAACCTCCCGTGGTCAGTAAATCACTAGTAAATTTTTTAATGTAGACCATATGATACACACCAAAAATACAATTCAGTTCAGACACAGAAAAAGCCTTACAAACGGGAAAGCAGAGACACACCCTCGCCCCAGGCCCACTGCCATCTCCAGCACTTACCCACCAGTGCCTCAAGCAACCTTCGTTTCTGTCCTCGTAAGTCTGTCGCTACCATTCCTTCCTTCTTCAAACATGAAAATTAAGACCACAGCCACGATCTCCCCATTCCAGGTCCCGCACAGCTCTCCCAATTTGCCCTTCCAGGCTCCTCTGGCCACGACAGATTCCCACATACAGGCAGGCTTACCTAACCTCCTTGTACCCCCAACATGAATGGGTTTTCTGGCTCCGTGTCCTGGGCACAGTCGGCCCTCTCCCTCGGGTCCCCTCTGCGTCATCTGCCCCGTGAAGCACTCCTCAGCGGCTCCCTTCTCTCTCCTCTCGGTAAAGTCAGTCCCTCCTCTCTTGGTGCTCATGACACTGACTCGCACGCAGCAGTGAAGGCTAACCATGGCTTCCAGGTCTAAAGCTGGGAGATGTAATCTGACCAAGGAGTAAGCTTATGAGGGCAAACAGATGAAGTTTTGAAATCAAAAGTGACCCAGAAAATCCTAAATATATATGGTCACTGTAAATATAATACTGGATCTTACGTCAAAAACCTTCTAGGGACTTCCCTCGTGGTGCAGTGGTTAAGAATCCGCCTGCCAATGCGGGGGACACAGGTTCGAGCCCTGGTCCGGGAAGATCCCACACGCCACGAATCAACTAAGCCTGTGCGCCACAGCTACTGAGCCTGTGCTCTAGAGCCCGCGAGCCACAACTACTGAGCCCTTGCGCTGCAACTACCGAAGCCCACACACCTAGAGCCCATGCTCCGTAACAAGAGAAGCCACCGCAATGAGAAGCCCATGCACCACAATGACGAGTAGCCCCCGCTCTCCGCAACTAGAGAAAGCCCGCGTGCAGCAACAAAGACCCAACACAGCCAAAAATAAATTAATTTTTTTAAAAAAACCCTCTAGAATCTACTGCACTTTAGGTACTGTGATTGGCCCTAGACATACAAAAAAAGGTAATACCATGCTCCCTGTTGCCCTTGAGTAGCTGTGAGGAGAAGTATCCATAAAAGGCTGATGGGACAGAGTTAAATGCTGGCAAGGGGTCCTCAAGGTAAGATCCTGGGTCAAGTCAGAAAATGGCAGCCGTCACTGCTTACACAGCTATGGAACAGTGCGTCTCGGAATTGAAGGCAACCTCAGAAACGTCCCTTCTGAAAGGGAGCAGATGCTGAGAGCCAACAGGGCTGCTCAGTGCGGGGTGAGAGAGGGCTCAGGGGTGACCAAGACCACCTCGTGAGAGTGGGAGTGGTGGAGCGGCCATCAGCTGTGACATCAGCTGTGACGGGGACGGCTGCAGCTGAGCGGGCTGGCAAGGGAGATGAGGGAGCCAGCTTTGGCTCTGTGGAGTCTGACATGCCCACAAGGCAGGAAAGTCACAGACGCCATGCTTCACGCTCCTCTCTACAGGCTACCAGGTGGCCTAGGATGTCTGTCTGCCCCATTACTGGTCGCAGTCTCTGCTCACTGGCCAAGGTGCCGTCTGCCAAGGCTCTCCACTCTAAAGTTCCTCTTCCCTTTGTGGGGAGTTAAGTTTGGAAGTAGGAAAATATCCTGTTCCTTGTCAAATAAGTTATTCACCTGTTGGTTTCTATCTATATGGACTCAAGATTGCTCTGCTCTGTTCTGTGTTAGATCCATGACAATCCTGATTGTGACGCTCAGATTGTCCCTGAGTAAGTGTGAAAGAAAGCCCCTGAAGGCTTCCCTGTCTTCGTGATGTGCCGCCATCACTCTTGAGCACTTCCCTGCACTGTGGCACTACAAGATGGACGAAAGGAGCCTGGAACTTTCCCTACCCCAGCCCTGCAATCAGCCTTCCCCCCAAGGAGCACTGATTCCTTTTAGTGGAAACAAAAATCTAGGTGCTAAATATACTCCTTGCTCTTGGGGTGTCATGCTCCCAGGTGAGCATGGACAGGCAGCTCTGGGGGCGTAAGTATGCACTAGGTATACATGTACATAAAAACACATACATGCACCCACACTTCACATCTAGATTGGGTTCAGTAACTATACTGACAAACGTGGGTCCATACAGACGCCTCCAGCTGCACCACAACAACTTAGCGTTCTCTGCTGTCTTCCCGCTCTCCCCAACTGTGCGCGGTCCCCACTGTCTCTAACAGCCTCCTGCCACACTGACCCCTCACCCGAGAGGCACCATGTGCTCAGGTGAGCCCCATTTTGGACTGCCCTGCCCTGTGAACACCCTCCCCACCTGAGCACTGACAGCCAGGCCAGGCCATCCACCAGGGACACCCTTCCCACCCTACACGGGCTCTGAGTCCCCGGGACAGAGCACTCCCCAACGCAGTGGGTGCCCCTCTTCACCCCCTTGGGACAACATCGTGCCTGGATTCCTCTCTCCTCTCAAATCCTGGGAGTCAACACCAGGTCACCCCCTCGTGCTCTGACCTCCGCACCAGGCCTCCCTCCTGCCTGGACAAGCCATCCTTAAAAGCAGTTTCACCAGTTAGGTGCTTTGATCCAAATCAAATCAAACAACCAGCTGAGAAAAAATGTAATCTAGGATTGAAAAGAACAGAAAGAGGGTATTTGGGGGCATGAGTGGATACAAACAGAGGACAGAACGAAGGCCTTTAAGGAGCAAAAGAGAAAGTGAAGGTGGGTTTAAAGGGAGGTGAGAGAGGCCAGGGAAAGACTCCTCAGCCTGACGCGGGGCTGCAGTAGGCCGCGGGGAACCCTCCCTCCCTCAGGTGGCCAGATGGTGCTGGCCATCACCTACCCTTGGGGACTTGGCTGAACTCTTTCAGAACCCTGGACCACTGTTTCTCCTCCTTTAAGCACAGCATCTCATTCTGCTCCTTCCTCTTCAGTGGGAGGAGGGTGGGCAAGGAAAGAGGGCTGGGGGAGAAGTACAACAACCCTGAGCTCACACCTGTCGCGCACCGAGCACCCCCCGACTTTTTTTGTGTGTATGTTATTTAATCCACACAACATGCTACAAAGCAGGTGGTAGCTCGAGCTCACATATGGAGGAAAGGAATCTTTCTCAATCTCTTCTGAACTCAAGTTAATCTTGAGTTCAGAATGCGAACCCAGCTCTGCCTGACTCCTCGGTTCTCACTCACTCCACCACAGAAGGGAAGAAAGGCAGTGGGAGACAAACAGACCAGTGGGTGGGGCAGCTAGGGGGACAGGCTAGGTCAGAGCTGCCCTCCCAGGTGACCTTCTCCTCCACACTTCCCCTTCCTGAATTTATAAGGGCACACACATCTGCCTTCAGGAAGGGGACATCTGTGCGTATCACCGTGATGCAAAAACCACCTGCTGGGAGAAACCCAAACCCCTCAGACAGGCCACGCCAGCTGCCATGTAAAGCAGGTGAGGCCGCTCCCCGGCACCACCACAAGGAAACGGCCATATTTTCATAAAACACAATGCAAGTGTAAAATCCAATGGGATGTGTTCTTGCCTTTTTACAAATTATTGATCTACAAACGCATTTAAGTAGATTTACCACCAAAAGTGGAATGCAGACTAAACCGAGAGGGGTGCACATCTCACAAGTACTTCACACCTGGAGGACTGGGAAAGAATTCATGTCTGCCCTTTAGCTGGGCTCTATCATCAGCACACACAAGCAGAAAGAGAGCTATAAGGAACCTAAGAGGACCGTCTGGGCCCATCTCCCTGCTCACAGTAGGTAAATGTTCAATTAACCAGAAGAGATGTCTGCTCCCTGTCCCAAGGCCATTCAAACAGCCAAGAGCTTGCTTTCTTTCTTTCTTTCTTTCTTTCTTTGGCCCAGCAATTTTCCCAATCTTAAGCCCATTTCCTGGTTAAATCCTCTGAAGATTAAATCTGTTGGCTCCTTAAATAAGCAAATTTTAACAGGAGATAATCAATCCTCAATTATCCATGTATTTGCTTATATGTGCTTTCCAAGGATAGGACTAACATTTGATAAAGGTGCTGTAATACTTTAAGTGAATTTTTTCCATATTTCTGCCCAAAAGGCAAAATTAAGTTTTGAACACGTATGACTTTAGAATGAGAAACAAGACAATCGAACATTAAAATACATACGAAATCCTGTTGACTATGGCATCTTCATCTTCTTGCTCATCTGCAAAAATGTTCAAGGTATTAATATTCTTTTATCTTCCAACAAAATGTTTCATTAATTTAATAAAAGCATGAACAAAAATATAAACTTGAAGAAGCAATTATTGAATAGAAATTATTTTCAAAAAGCACTGTGTTTATTTCAGCACAGATCACAATCTAAATCTCATTAAATCAGATAGGATAGAATATGTTAAAGAACAGAGTGTTTTGATTGATCAAAAAATCCTGGGGCTTCCCTGGTGGTGCAGTGGTTGAGGGTCCGCCTGCCGATGCAGGGGACACAGGTTCGTGCCCCGGTCCGGGAAGATCCCACATGCCGCGGAGCGGCTGGGCCCGTGAGCCATGGCCGCTGAGCCTGCGCGTCCGGAGCCTGTGCTCCGCGACGGGAGAGACCACAACAGCGAGAGGCCCGCGTATGGCAAAAAAAAAAAAAAAAATCCTGATTAACAAAACTCCCATATGTAAATTAAGATCTTCCAAAATATTTAGTGCTCAAGGAAATAAAACTCAGTTAGAACCCCAGAACCACTATCAAGTTTATTGTTATACAATGTCAGTGAAATTGCTAATGAATGAAATTTTCTGGTTGATAATGGCCAAAAAAAATTTTTACTATAAAATTAAAATTCAGAATTTTAGAACTCATATAGTTTTCTGTAATTGGAGTCTATTGTTAGTAATGGTAATAATGAGGACTTTCTTGGATCATCCTAAACCACCTTGGATACCACTGCCTTGATACTTCATCATTTCATTCAAGTTACAGACAGAAATATATCAAGTTCTGTGTCATTTGTAAGTAGGAGCAAGATGGCCCTTGCTCCTGTGCTTCCTCACCCTACCCTCCCTCTCTCATGGCTGTTGGCCATCTTTTTTGTCCTCCCACGTAATCTTACCAGCTAAGGAAACTATGATCCAATTACAAAAATATTACACAACACCCCGGCCCCTCCTTCTCCTCAGTGCCTAACTGGGGTTGTCCTCAAAGGCTCTCTGCGTAGGTCTGTGGAATTCTGAGCGCCCACCTGTTTCAGTGACAATGGCATATTTAGGCCATTCTCTTAGACCAATCTCCATTCTTAATTACTGACTGCCCCAAATAGTTTTAAGACCAAAGAGACCACAAAATAACATAGTCACAATTAACTTTTATACTGTTGTACCCACATCCAATCAACCACCATATCTTGAAGATTGTTTTAATAGCTTCATATCCATTTCAATTCTATTGCCGACCCTCTACCAACCAGGTCCAGGGTCCTCATTACCCTCTCCCATGATTACTCTAAAAAGCATCTAATAAATACCCTATTTTCCTGCTCATCATCCCCTGATTTCCCCTAAAACAATGCATTATTCATTCATTCTCTCTCTCTCCCTCCTTCTGTGTCCATAATCTATGAAACCTGGTGCCAAAACATCTTTTAAAACAGCTAAGATACTGCCTTGGATCCCAGGTCTTCAAACTTCTGAGAGATTATAGAATCCAAGGAGTATTTCAGTGCAGTCACAGAGCCAAGTAGTGCACTAGAGCAAGCACTATTTCCTGATTTCTTTCAAAATTCTGACAAGTTTAAAATAACATAAGGAAGCTTTAATATATGGAATCCATAAATATTCACATGGCACCTACTATTAGCCCAGCATCACAGGTGGAAATCTTGTGATTTCTAGGAAATAGCTGAGATTTAACAGAAGTCAGTAAAGTAACTGGTTAGTTACTTATAAAACTCTGGCATAAAAATCTGTGAATTAATCAGCACAACATTCATTAAAAAAAAGAAAAGATACAGTGGTCCCTCTGGTGAGATAAGGATACATATGAAATAATAAAAGGATAATATAATATATAATTGAATGCTAAATGGTATTACGGAGACTCTAAATTCTATACCGCTTCAGAAAAAGAAAAGATACTCTGATAGTCAGAGAAAGAACTGGGTGGGGGTGATGAGAGTATGTCCAAATTCAGAGCCAGTCACAGGGAACCAAACATCCTCATAAACTCTGGAATTTCCCAGAAAGTAAAGAGCCCTGGACTATTCTTAGTTGAACATAAGAATGGTGATAAAAAAGGGCTCGGGTCTAAGAAGATGACCCTGCGAGTAGTCAGATTCCCTGGAGGTTATTTTTAGGGCTCTTAGTACCAGGCAACTGCTTGCTTCAATCACAGGCATACTGAATATACTAACTATGCCGATGGGCACCATATAGCCATGGACCATGCCTAGACCACTTGGCATTAGAATCAAAGCTTTAATAACAATGTATCTACTAACCTGATTTTCTCTTGTATCTTGTGATGATGAAGTAGGAGACAATGTAGAGAATGGCAAAGAGAAGGAAACAGATCTGAAACAAAACAAATTTAACAGATTATTTACATTTTTTGCATATCTTTTTAAGTAACAGAAGATACATCTTTGGCATTCATAGGGAAAAAGAATTTAATCTATTACAAAGTAAAAATTTTAGCTAACAAAAAGTGTTATGAAATATTAACTTATACAAACTAGTCAGCCCAGTTTAAAACCATTCCAGAAAAAAAAGCCCAATGGACATTTTGCTTTTCATAACTTGACCAAGTTGTTTTCAAAATCATGTGGAACTATAAAGAACCAGACCATCACCAACAATTTTGAAAAATAAAGTCAATGAGAGGCTACTAACCTTACTAAATATTAAAACATACTATTAATATAAAGCTTCAATAACATTTAAAGAGTGTGCTGACACCAAAACTTGACAGATCAATGAAACAGATTCTATCATATAAAAATTCATGTCAGGTGGTTGTACATACACGAGGCCTCACAAATCAAGGTGGGGGTGGGGGGCGATTATTCAATAATTAAACCACATGTCAAAACGAACAGCAGTTGAACAAGATACTTTTTTAATATTAAATTCCCTTTAATTTCTATCAGATCTAGGGGACAGCAGGCAAAAAAGGATGGGTGAAGGAATGGGAGATCTCAGTATAGTCAAAGATCAAGTGTGCTTTAGATAAAGGCCTAATGGAGCTGTGGACCATGGTAGAAATACTTTGAAGACTCTCAAATGAAACCATTCCAGGTGATGATAAAGCCTCGGGATCACCCCTATGCATGGATTTCTGAAGAAGGGTTGGCAGCCATATGACTGAGAATGATCATGGACTAGGCAGTAAATATCCAATGAGCAGAGCAGTGATATGATCTGACATACTGCAAAAAGCTCACTCTAGTTACAGTGTGGAAAATAAATTAGAAAAAGGAAATGACGGAAGCAGGGAGACCAGTTAGGACTCGCTGCAATAATATAGAGAGGTCACTTAGACCTGTGCTGTGGAGGTGTTAAGAAGTTATCAAGTTCTGGGTATGTTTTGAAAGCAGACTTGACAGGACTTGTAGGAATAAACATAAGGTTCTTGGCTTGAGAAACTGGAAAGACAGAGTTGCCATTTCCTGAGTCAGGGAAGGTCAAAAGAGGAGTAGTTTGGGGGTAGAAATAAGAATAGAGTTTACACTGCTGAATTTGAAACATATATTATTCACTCAGGTGGAGAGGTTGAATGGGCAGTTGGATATAAAAATGCGTACAGCTGAGGGGAAGGAACCAGGCTGGGGGAAAAAAAGAAGAGTCATCAGCAGATAGATGGTATTTAAAGCCATAAGACTAGATGAGATTTCCACTGTAGGTGGTGAGTATAGCCAGAGAAGAGAAGTCTGAGAACAGAGTTCTGGGCTCTCAAATATTTAGAAGCCAACTCGAGAGAAGGAATCAGCAAAAGCTGACTGAGAAGCAGCAGCAAAGAAGAGACCGACGTACTGAAAGCCAAGTGAAGAAAGTTTATCTAGGAAAAGGGAATTATCTACCGCGTCAAATGCTGCTGAAAGGCCAAGTAAGATGAGCACTGAGAACTGACAACTGGATTTAGCAACATGGAGGTCATCGGTGACCTTGACAAGAGCTGTTTTTCTGGAAGGGTGGAGGGAAAAACCTGACTGAAATGGATAAGCAAGGAGAAAACTTGGAGCAAAATGAAAGTAGACAGTTCTTACCAGGAGTTTTATGATAAAGGGCAGCAAAGGAAATGTAAAAGGGACTGCTGAGAGGGGTTTTTTTAAGATGAGAAAAGTTATACAGTTGTTGAAATAACCCAGTACTTACTTCTGATGCAAGAAAGAAAGGGAGAATCGCTGAAGAAATGTGCTCAAGTTGAGGGGCTACATACAAAAATTTATCCAAAGTAAAAAGAAGGAGGAGGAGGAAAAGCAGGAACTGAGAGAACATTTGAGTCCCTCTGCAGGTGGGTAAGTAGATGGTGGTAGAAGCACAAAGACATTATCTTTTGATGGCTTCTATTTTCTCAGTGAAAGAGAAGTTCATCAAATGAGTTACACATGAGGGTAGGGCGAGAAGTGTGTAAGTCACGCAGGAGAATGGGAGAATAAATGGATTTGAGAAACACAACAGAAGTGAGGGGCAACAGGAAATGAAACGGCCTTTAAAGTTTCAGGCAAGCTCAAGCCAAGACTCTAAGCAATGCAGGAAGCCTGATGATGCTATACAACACAACACAAGAGCTTGATTCTTAGATGCTGAGGCAGATGTAGGCTGCGTCCCCAAGAACTAGCACAGGCTTGATGATTCTAACAAATAACCTATTCTCTCTCCTCCCCTTTACAGCCTACACTTGCGGACTTCCACTTTTCACCACCACTCACTCACTCACTCTTCCAACCACTTATCTGACTTCACGCCCACTGACCCACTCAAAGTGCTTCTGGCAGTGGTCAGTGATGTCCCAACAGCCAAATTACACTTTCATGATTTCACTTGCCCTCTAAGCAGCAACTTGCACGTCAGCAATCTTCCTCCTTCTCTGATTACTCTCCCAGACTCCATCACTAGCTTCCCTTTTCCTGCCAGCCTTTAAACATTATTCTTCTCTATGATTTCTGAGCGGAGCCAGAAATCTATTCTCATTCCACAAGCTCTTTATAGTTAACCTCATCTGCTGCCAGCGTTTGAACCACCAACCCCCAGAAATCCCCAGACCACCATTTGAGAACCACTGGTTTAGGGTATTAGCAAAAGTGAGTGAAATAATGGGCCATGAAACCTAAGTGGATTGGGAGAAAAGTGAACCCAAGTGATGGATAGGAGTGGACATGCCAATCAACTGAGGTTCCTGGTAGAGAAGCAGCTGCAATAAAAGTACTTGACCAAGGAAGCTGGAAGAATACAAAGTTGTGACTAAAGCATGTTTTAGGATTTTTTAAATTAGTAATTAAAGGTGGAGAAGAGTAGTTTCAGGAGTTCCAAGGAGTTTGTGCAGAAGTGGTAGCTGAGAAGGCATGAAAGTTAACAGACAAACGGAAATCAAGGAACCAAAATGCATGGCATGGGATGGAAAAGACTAATGGAAAGCAATCCATCTAAGAGTAGAAGGCTAACAATTGTAAAAACAAGTGTAAGTATTACTAATTTGGAAATAAGAGCTACCCACTATGAAAATAAACATACAACTATACCAGACTGGAACAACAACACAAAAATCACAGAACTAGTTAGGCCATTTTTCTAGTTCCAAAGACGGGGGGTAGGAGCAGGTGTGCTCCTTCTCTACATGAGCACGTCGGTATCAGAGAGACACACCCACGGGGATACATAAAACGAAAACAAGCATAATGATGCCTCCTATTCTCCTTCATTCAGTGGAGGCAAAAGGAAATTCCTAACCAAAAAAAGAAGGAAGTCATTCCAGCTCGCCACCACTAAAGGTGAGGTACAGCTGATAAAAAGGGAGATGATGGGCTCTCACGGTTCTCTGAAAAGACTGAGCTTTTCTCTCCTGGTCAGGGGAAGAACAAGGCTACCAGAGACGATAAGCAGAAGCACAGGGTGCATGTCCTCTGTGCCAGCTGACCCAAAGCAGGTGCTTCAGCCCTCACTGGGGGCCACACGGCTTTAGTCCTGATGCTGATCAAGAATGGCCAGGCATTTGGGAGCTAAGTTACCCAGTCACAAGTAACCTAATACAGGTATTTCTAAAGTTTGCTTTACACCATTTCACTTTTTAGAAAGACCCACTTCAGTACCTGTTTTTGGTAACCAAACAAAATCCAAAGAGGATTTTCACTTTTACCAAAAAAAGGCGAAAAGCGAAAATCTCATTCAGCTCAGTGTGTTTTGCAGCAAGCGTTACAGAGGCAGCGCCCACCCCAGCAGTGAGAGCGGCCCGCCAAGCTCCTTCCCGGAACCACACTCAGCATCTCAGCATCAAGCTGCTACAGCTGTGAACCGTATCGGTGAGCACCTGTGCTTCATCTCGATTGATTTTGTGTATCTGTGAGCAAGACGGGTCCTAAAGTAACTGCTTCTCTACTTTGTGCCATTTCAGCTCAGGAAAGGTTTCCTAGGACGCTCTACTTTCAGAGGTCGGAAAAAACCTATAATATATCTAAAATATGCTGTTAAAAGCAAATATTCTTAAATCCCAGGTATAAGATTTAAACCTAAATTCAAACTAGTACCTTATAATCAAACTGTGTAAGTGTAAGCTTTTCACTTAAGGCTGATGGGCTTCAGCTAGTTTAAGATGACCACGGGGAGTAAATATCATAAGAGTGATGGGTACAAATGGCCTAAGGAAAGCTACCAGTAACACGTTTCTAACAAAATCCTGGGAGAGGACAAGTAAACTATAACTGAGCCAATAATCTCACTCCACGGCAGAGCCAATAAACCTGGCTTTATTTTAAAATTGCTAAATCAAAAATTTGAGATGTTGAGTATCCTTTAAAGTTACAAGTGAACCACAAAATAACTAAAATTAAAATTATAATTCTTTCAAATTACCCTAAGAGCCAGACTATGTAGTAAAACACAAGAAAACACAAATAGGGCTTCCCTGGTGACGCTGTGGTTGAGAATCTGCCTGCCAACGCAGGACACGGGTTCGAGCCCTGGTCTGGGAAGATCCCACATGCCGCGGAGCAACTGGGCCGGTGAGCCACAATTACTGAGCCTGCGCGTCTGGAGCCTGTGCTCCACAACAAGAGAGGCCGCGATAGTGAGAGGCCCGCACACCGCGATGAAGAGTGGCCCCTGCTTTCCACAACTAGAGAAAGCCCTCGCACAGAAACGAAGACCCAACACAGCCATAAATAAATAAATAAATAAATTTTAAAAAGAAAACACAGTGACAAAAATAAGATAATAAACTAAAGATGAAACATATTAAAATCATAATTGTAAATAAAACTGTCAAAAGAAAACTCTCACAGACTAAGATATAGCTAAAATAAAGTGACCTGGGATGGTTGAAAGCAAAAGGATAAATAAAGACATACCAAGCAGATGCT